GTGGCAGAGAAAACAAGGTGAAAAAATACTCCTTCCTGAAAACAACAGAGCCTGGGAACAGATTGCCCTTTCACCCTTGAGGACAGTTGTGTAATTACCCTCACCTGCTCAATGTAGATGGCAGGAGCTTCAGAGCTAGAGAATGGAGGTCCCTAGGAATGGTGCCCAGCTACACCCACTACCCTGGGCTCATAGGACATCAAAGGTATGAGAACAATCCTCTCTCAGAGGATGTGTGGCAGTCAGTTGGGCCAGGGCCTTCAAGGGACGGAAAAGGAATGATCCTGAGGCATTACATGAGCTTTACTCAAGCCTCTCCAGGAAATCTCTATTCTGTTGGCATTGGCCTGGGTTCGTGGCTTTTTAGAGATGTTATCTCTGGTGGAAGGTGCATCCTAGTCCTTCAAGACATATATATGCTGATATCAGTACCAGGATATAATGCAGATTACTTTCTGCCCAACTATCAAAGGCTTTGTCTCCATTTTTGCTTCTATTTTGAAAAGAGCTTACACCACCAAGAGCGTATGAATGTCCTCCCAGTCTTAAAGCTTAATCCTTAAAAACTGTGTCTTTCAGGTGGTCGAAAAAGGAAGCAGTCACAGGATGGAGAGCCAGCCTCTGTGGAGAACTCCAATTTAACGCCTCTGATCACATGATGGGGCGGACAGTGTTTGCTGGGTGCGTGAGATTCCAGAGCTTTGGGGGAGAACCCACCCTCCCATCATCTGCTTCTCCCCAAGGCCTCCCACAAGTGACAGAGCATTCTGCTTTCCTTACCACCTCTTCACCCCTGTCAGTTTGGCAGATTTTCCCTCGTCGCCTCCAGTTTCACTCAGAGCCTTGCCGTGGCCATAATGGAAGGAGGTGCCTCCAGTGGAACATGCTAGAAATGGTCTTGTCCACAGGACAATCTGGAACTGGAAAAGAAATGACCCCAAGCTGACAGTGCCACTCTGGGACCCCTGATGCCTTTTGTGTTCTTTGAGATCCCCTAATGCCATATTTCATGCTTAGCTTAGTTCAGAAGGTGCCACTGGTAGACAGGCACGTAGGAGGATGGAGGTATCAAGGTTAGCTCAGATGAGGAATCAAGGTTAGCTCAGATGAGGAACCAAGAATTCGTCGAAACTGTAGGGCAGCGGGAGGGACTCAGCCGTGTTGGCATATGAAGTTACAGTACAGAAAACTGTCGGTGACCAGTTTCCTGTTAGATAAGGGTTCCAGCAGCCTGGGAAGTGTGTCTCAGGTGGAATGGAAAGAATGTGAAATGGAACCTCAAGTCACTGTTTTTCCCAGGGATACATCTGCTTTGGCTCCTGATCGGCAGTTACCGATCCATCAATAAATCTGATGTATAAAAGGAGGAGCAGGGAACAGAGAAACCCAATTGAGAGCCAGAGATGGAACTTCAGGTTTTAAGTGCAAATCAAAGCAAATTTATATATATATACATACATACATATATGGAAAAATTCTAAGCTGTTAAAGCAAGTTTAGCCATGACAAACCAAAGAGTGCCCAGGTCAGCTAAGAAAGATGTAAGTTCTCACGGGACTTCAATGTGCATTACCCAGGAACATTGAAGAATCACTCTTCTTTTTCATCCATTCTCCCCACTCCTACCCCTTACTGCACCCCAGCAGGTCAGTTAAGCATACTTTTTACTCCAAGAACATACTTAGATCTCCGGTTTTTCACCTGGTTGTGGGGGGCAGATGCATTTCCAAGCAGAACCACCAGATGGCAGGATGACTCCACATACCTACTTGAAGAATAAACGTTCTGATCAGGACACACACACAGCCACTCCTAGGGAAAATGTGGAAGTAAGTGAAGATTGTCTTTGGGACATCTGTGTTCCGTTCTGATCTAACTCCCACCCTTGGGTTCCCTGGATCAGGGATTCAGTGATCCAGTGCTGTCTGCTGAATCTCTAAACCATTTCCTAGCTTTTCCCTGGGGTATAGCATCCAGGCTTATCTTCCCTTCCTCCACAACCCTACTCCCACATTACTCCCATATCCCTACACCCATTCAGTCGATAATTATATAAGGAGAAGGAGACTGATAATTCCTCTGGGTTATTTGCAGCTCGAAAGAAAATGCTGACCCACAGGAACCTTTAACTCAGGGGTTCTTAACTTGGGGTCCCTCACCCCAGGGAGTCCACTGTTGGACTTCAGAGGGTCTGTGAAACTTCAAACACTGTAGGAATTTAGCGTTTGTGTTCTTATGTGTGTTTTCCTGAGGGCTAAAGCTTTCATAAGATTCTCAAAGGTCTCAGACCCACACAGGGTTAAAAACTATTTTAACTGAAAGTGAACTTTCAGCCCAAAGTTTCTGCAGTGCAGAGTGAAATGAACACTGGGCAGTTTGAAACAGATTTTTACTTGTAAGTGGGCTTCGCAGGTGTCCGTGAAATTGATGGGGAAAGCTGGCATCCACCAAGAAGTGGAAGTCCTGAGAAATTCTTGGCACACCCTAGGCTATTGTATGACCTACACCCCCACATAACTTCGTTCCCCACCGAACTAGAGCAAGTGTTGCAGACAGGAGGGCCACAGCATGTGAAAGTAAAGACTTTCCAGCTGGTGATGCCTTTTCCAGCAATGTATTATTGACTTCACACTCCTTGCCTGGCTCTGCCTGAGGCTCAGCAGTGCATGACTTCTTACAGATAACTCCACAGCTACCACCCACTCCAGCACCTACTCTTGCCTGGTAGGAATAGCCAGTGTCAACCCTTCCTGCCCCACCCCCCGCCCCATGCTGGGTGCCTCAGACCCAAACCAGCAAACTGTGTCAAGTAAGAACTGCCATCATACATTTTGCCCAGCTGGCCGCTGGCCCAAGGGGGCCTGCCTGGCTAGTCTTCTTTACATTAGGCCACGGGGTTCAGGCCACTGCTGTTGCATTACATTTATCCCTTTGCAAAATCCCCAAGGAGCCTGTCACCACTACCTTCCCTATTCCTCCCCGCCCCCCGCCCCTACCCCCCGAGATTTTCTTCAGGTTAAAAATTTAAAAACAAAAAGATTTTCACTTTAAAATAAAGCATCTATGAAGACTTAATGAATTGTAAATAATTTTTAAATAAAATGAAAATGCTTTTCCTGGAATGTGGCTGTTTTCCTTGCCCCTGGAATCTCAGTTCTGAAGCAGTTTCATTTGAGATGCAGGTTGGGTAGAGCTCACAAGTAATTATCTCACCGGGGGCCCAGCTGCCTGAAGAGGCAAGGCTGTCAGGGCCAAGTGTGAGACTGCAGTTTAAGGTTACAGGAAAGCACTGGTGGTCTACTTTGGGAAGCCAGATGAGGAAGATTTTGCAGGAGCAAATGCCAGAAACGGAAAGTAAAACCCAAATGAAAAGCCAGAGTGTGAATGAGGACGAGAAAGGAGCACTAAGACAATTATTTGTTGAACCCATGTGATGTGCAAGGCATTGGCAGGTGCCTTCCGAGTTCAAAGTCTTAGGGGCCAGATCCAGGCAAGCCTCTGACACATGTTGGTCACACTGACTCCCTTCTGAACTCCAGTGTTTTCCAGCTGAAGGTGGGAAAAGAACAGGGGAGTGGGCCAGAATTATTGGTCAGTTTTAAACCAATGCAGGAGGAAGGGAACAGCAAGACAGGTGGGAAGGTGTGTTTGGGCCTTTAACGTTTATTTAAGGAAGTTTGGAATCTGACACCTGCCACCAATCCTGAAGAAATAAGATCTTACTGGGTAGGACCGGGTTTTGGAGGGCCTCAACCCATTTTAATATCTTAGACGTTTTTGCCCCCAACAACTGATTTTTGCCCCCCTGAAAATACTATAACCCTTGTTGAGAGTTCATGGTTTAAAGCTATGTTTGGAGAGAATGAGAAAAGATTGACAGAAGGTAGACTCATTCGACTTCTATTCTGCCTGTCTTCCCTTACTAACGACAAGCATCTTTAAGCAGGTAAAACAAATACTGATACAAAAGGAAATGGAACAGAAGGTAATGAAGAGGTGGATGTGAGGCCATTTCATCACTTTAAATCCATTCACATGGCCAGACCCAATCATACACTTGCACAGTATTCACTGAAGGATGCTGGAGGTCCAGCCAGATGATTGGTGGATCTGGAAACCATATCCTGTGCAGAAACACTGAAGAAAAGTGGCAGGGGAGAATTTCACATGGAAAAGCAAAAACAATAACAACTGCGACTTTCAAATATTCAAAAAATCATCAGTCGGAACTGCCAGTGGACTCTGTGTTAGTGGTTTAAAGGAAGGGAAGAGGGGGACCAGGAGAGTAGGACAAATGGGAATCGAATCTTGAATCAAAGTAAAAGATCTTCTTAATTGAGTGCTCCGTCAATAGAATGGGGTGCTTCACCAAGTATTGAAAGAAGCTATCCCCACTCTCCTTCATTCCCATTTGAAATTGATGAGTCAGGGACAATATGGCAGACCATTGCACTGAGGAGAGAGGCTGGAGTTAAAGACTTCTAAGACCCTAATCATCCCTCAAGACTGTAGGATTTTGTAACTCAAAGGCATTCTGGAAAGGGGCAGATCCTGTTAAAATAACAAGAATTATCGTCTAATATTTTTAAACTCCCAGTAGTAGCCCTCTTGTTTTAAGACTCAGAATCTACAAAACCATCATGAGGAGAGCCCCTTGGACTCTCTGAAAAAATGTGATCTGTGTTCAAGTGGCTCTAATTGTTTCAACAGAGAAGGAGATACTCGACCACAATGGGAGGGGCTATGCTCTGGAATCACCGAGTGCTGTCAACCCTTCTATGAATCCATGAAGTCCAGGGCCTTAAGTGACATCAAAGGACAGCTGGCCTCTGGAGGACAAACCCAGCAAACCGACAAAGCTGTGATGCGGCACGCTCACTAAAGAGAGGCATGTTGCAAGAATACGTGTTAAGTTTTTTCCTCTAGCAACAGTAAATCCCTCTACAGCATTTGTTTTAAAACCATGGTTATAACCCATTAGTGGATCACAAAATCAGTTCTTTAGGTCTCAATCAGCACTTTTATTTCTTCAGGGAAACAGAACACAATAGAATACGATGGACTGAAATATCAGAATGTACTACACAGAGCAAGGGTAAATACGGTTCTATGAAATGTTTATTTCAATTAAGTGTGTGTGTGTGAAATGTAAATATATTTCTTTCCATGGTTGCCCTAAAGAACTAAAGCTTAGGGCTAGGGACACACCCATGCAGAACGAGCAGGGAGACAGACACTCTGAGTGGAGGTGATGAGTTTTAATGACACAGCCAAAACCCACAATCACACGGGGCTCTTCAGACAACTTGATCTTTGGGACCAGACTTTGTACAGAGTCAAGCAACACAAAGAAGCACACAAGCAACACAGGCCACCCTCCTGCTTCTAGCAAGGGGGCAAGTTATCTACAACTCATGATCAAAGTACTTTATTCTTCTTCAAAAGAAATCTTACTTTTCTCTGACCTCCAAAAGGGCTCTAATCCCAGGCCAGCATTTTTTTTTAACGGGTGTTCCCTTCACATCGGGCCAGTTTAAACAGGGGCCACCTGCAGTCCATCGTAGTCTCTAATCTGTGATGTATATACAACTAGGTTTGTGCAGGCAGGGAACACACAGGATCGAGAACTGCTTTGGTGGTGCTGATTTGGGTGATGCTTCTTCACTGGATTTTGGTGACTGCTTCATGGATGGAGGTGGCCACGTATTCTAGATTTTTGGTGGTTAAGCCACACATGTTGATCCGACCACTTGGCATCAGATAGATGTGCTTTTCTCTGATCAGATATTCAACCTGCTTGGCTGTTGAAAACCAAAAGAGATATAATCAGAGTAGTAGGAATCCTTTAAGCCGTGGAGGTTCAGCAATTCCATGACAATTATAACTTTCCTTCTTTCCCCGTAACACAGAGAAGCAAAACAAAAGAATTTTTTTGTCCAACTGGCACCAAGGGAAATATCAGGAAACTAGTCTTATTAGCTAACTGTCTAATCCTCAGTAGGTTTACTATCACTCCTCCTCATGGGAATTTTAATCTGAGACTACCTCCCAACGCTGCACGTTACATACACCAGGACACCCAATCAACTGAAACAACCCTCAGATTTAAGAACATTCCTTTGATATGAAAAACTGGTTATGAAGTGCTCCCTTTATCTCTTCCTTAACCTGTATTCACTTATCCCTGAGCAGCTAGCAGCAACCTGTCTTTGACATTTTGTTTTCACGAGCCCCTCTACCGCATGAGAGGTGCTGGATAAACACTGTGTACACGAACCAATGGGTTGAAAAACTGCAGACACCTCTGACCTGGCACTTCTCAGCTTCATTCAGACACGTGCAGGAGGGCTTTCCCATGTGTTTGCAGAAATGCTCTGCTCGTGGATGAAACAGGAAGGGACTGCCTGTACCTCCTTTGTGCCACAATCTAGAGCTTTTCTGTTTTATTGTAAAGCTTTAAGAGAATTTTAGCTGATTTTTGCTTAACTAACTTTGTACCCTTAAGACATCATCAATTTGAGGGAATGGGATAATAATAATTGTTATGGACTGAATGTTTGTGTCTCTACAAAATTCATGTAAAGCCTAACCCACAATGTGATAGTATTGGGAGATGGGGCTTTGGGCAGTTTCTTAAGTTTAGATGAGGTCCTGAGGGTGGAGCCCCCACGATGGGAGTAGTGCCCTTATAAGAGAAGACCAGAGAGCTAGCTCATGGGTGGGCCTGCCCGCTCCCTCTTCTCTCCTCTTTCCTCTCTCTCTTTCCTGCTCTCTCCCTCCTCCTCCCCATAGTGTGAAGATGCAGTAAAAAGACAGCCACCTGCTAGCTAGGAAGAGAGCCCCCACCAGAATCTGACCATGCTGGCACCCTGATCTCAGACTTCTCAGCCTCCAGAACGGTGAAAAATAAATTTTTGTTGTTTAAGGCACCCAGTCTATAGTATTCTGTTATAGGAGCCCAAGCTAAGATGGTAACAAAATCGTAATAATCAGAGGAGCAAACCCTACGTTTCAGGCAGTGTTCTAAGCATTTTATATTAACTCAACTCACCTTTTTTTTTTCATTTTAATTTTTTAAAATGTTCTATTAGTTTCAGGCATACGGCACAATGGTTAGACATTTATATAGTTTATGAAGTGATCCCCTCGATTACTCTAGCACCCATCCGGCATTATACTCCCTACGCTCTACTCTATATCCCCGTGACTGCTTTGTAACCACTAATTTGTACTTCTTCAACCCTTCACCTTTCTCACCCAGTCTCCCAACTTCCCCAACTCCCCAACTCATCTTGATAATAACCTTCTCATCCCCATCTTACAGATGGTACAGAGAGGAGTCAAATGACCTTCCCAAGGTCACACAACTAGTCACCGGTAGATCTGAGATTTTAAAGCAGGCAGTGTAACTCCTGATTCTAAGTTCTTAGATAGGACCTCCGTATGGAAGTGGAAAACGTGGACCCTGTACTCGGTGCTACCCCCAAACAAAGCAACCTTCTGACGTAGCCGAGACCAGCTTTAACTGAGCAGAATTACAGTCATCTAGAGAGATAAAGCCTAATGTCACACAGCAACACAGCCTCAGGCACACCACCATTGGTAAAGCTTATGCCTCAGCGGATGTAGTTACATGGCTCCCACCCTGATTTTTGATATAAAAATGAAACTTCTCTAATTTTGTAGGGGAGGAGAGCATCACAACTGAGAAGCTAATAAGAGTTATGGACTCTTTCGCTAGAAAAAGGCCAAAATATACATATCCACAATTTTTTAAATATTACTTCAGGGGCTTCACAAATCTTAAAGTACACCCATGGACTGCGGAAAGCCCCTGTTCTGATGGATAAAACGTAATAAAGGAAAGACTGTAACATGAGAATTATAGACACTAGGTGCTGGGTATATCACTGTACAATTCCTCCAACTTTTCTGCATGTTTAAAATTTTTCCAAATAAAATGTTGGGGGGAAAAATACCGTTTTTAAAAAGGGTAAATGGTGCTAAGTGCTAAAAATATAACTCTTGTGTTATAAACACAGGTCTACTCTCACCATTCTTCAATTCCTAAAAAAAATGACTTCCTACTCTGGAGAGAGGGAGAACAGGGATGTCTTACGGAGAGACAGCCCCATCTTGTGAGCTTTTAGAACATTACAACTGAACACCATTGCCATTACACTTCGCATTTTAAATTTTGAAGAAGGATGATTTTACTTATTCAAGTGAGTTAATTCCCCATTCTGGAATTGTGAGGACACCTATGAATAACTGAGCTATAACTTTACTTTCTTGGGTAGCCTCATTTTACCCCAAAATACTTCAAGGGGTCTATAACAGACAATCTCTACCACCTTTCTTGTGTATAATTATTTCCTTTGCCTTTTTCTGATCCCATTCCAAACAGGTTCTCTGATGGCCCTGCTTTACAATACCTTCTAGCATCTCTAATATTCTACTTACTACCCAAGCAAGGCACACATCGGTCCCTAGAGTCACTCGGACACAAGCTTCACATACAGGTGAGTGGCCACATCTGCACCACACGACCGGTGACTTGGCCAGTCGGGGCTCAGGAATTACTTGTTAAATGAATGACTCCTCTCTCATCCGAAGGGTCAGCCAATTGTTGATATGCTCTACTGATGACTGACCCAGGTTGTACACGGCTGCCCATTGGACTTCCAATTGGCTTTCAATTCCAACTTCCAATCTAAGTTCTTATTTATGAAATGGAGAGATAATTTTGTAGCCTCATTTTGAGGGCAATGCCCAGAGACTAGAAAAGACCTATTAAGATATTAGGTCCCTGAATAATCATATATAATATTCATACTTAGGATTAAGAAAAAGCAGAAAGGTACCTGAGCGTTTAGGAGAGACCTTTAATAAATCAAAGCTCCAAACTATAAATCCTGTCACTTCCCAGCTGGCTCTGAGCCACTTCCCAGCCCACAAAAATGAAAATATCTTAGTTATGGAAGAGCAGGGCAGACTGCAGCAACGCTCTTCTGAGACCCAAGGGGTTCAAGAGGTGGGTGGGATACACTGAGAAAACCTAACTTGTTCTGGTCCAAAGTCCTGGCTGACCACTTAGGCAACAGCTAATGAAGCCAAGCCCAAAGACGCCAAGAGGAGTGCTGTCCAGTGCGGAGCATTTGGGGTGGTGAGGCCCACTTACGGTTCAACCCGGTGAAGCTGAACATTCCAATTTGCTCGGTGATGTGGTTCCAGGTTCCAGGGGTCTTGAGGGCTTCTAACCGTGCCCTGAGTTCAGATCTCATGGACAGAATCCGGTCAGCCATTGTCTTCACATTACCTATCCTGAGTGGACAGCAAGTATAAATACCAATCCAGAGAGAAGAGATGGTACGCAGGATTGTGGAGGTTTAAAAACTCTGAATTTAATCTATAAACTGAAAATAGAATCACAACCTGCCTATTATATGGTCTGTGGATGCCTGGATGGGTGGATAAGCAGACCAGAGAGACAGAGTTACCAGGCAGAAGGAAAGGACTATATTTACTGATGGAGTTCAGCGCTAGCGTTGGGTACCTTAACTGTAATACCACTTATGTTATAACACAGACTTCACCGAGGTGCTGATCTAGACAGAATAATATATTTTATCAGTTCTAGTTAAGTAGAGATGGCATATTTAGCTACTATGTAAAACTTACTCTGTTTCAAAACAAGATCAAATATATCTAAAGTAGTTAAGAATGAAGAGCCCCCAAACTGTCACACTAACTTGAAGTTGAATATTCTTTTCTATTGGGAATTCCTTCCTGCTTCCCAGCTTGAAGGGGAAGAAGGCTGGGTGGTGGGAAAGTGGGGGAAACCTCACTTTACCAAGTTCCCCTTGCTAAGTGCCTGGGGTGGCGGTAGGCACGTGTATTGTATTACACACACGTAAGTAGGCGGCAGCCTATTTTACAGAAATATCTGAGCCTCAAAAATGTTAAAGTAATTTTGTCCTGCCTCTGCCGACATAAGCGGAAGAGAGAGACAGATGTAATGAGTCGATTACTGTTCTGCTTTCCCACCCCTCACCCATCAGGCTGTGAGCTCCTTACCATTCCTTAAAGAGCTCGGGGTTAGAGAGCGTAGTGGCCACGATTCGCGCTCCCTGAGCAGGGGGATTGGACCAAGTAATTCGCACGATCTTCTCCATCTGGGAAAGGACCCGCAGGATGCTATCAGCTTCTTTTGCAACCACGGTCAGATTCCCCACTCGCTCATCTAGAGAAAGGGACACGAATCAGCCCTGGCAGCCCTTGCGGGGGCTGGAGGGGCAGTAACTCAGGAGAGCACTCACTGTAGAGCCCGAAGTTCTTGGAGAAGGACTGGGCACAGAAGAGCTCGAATCCTTCAGACACAAAATAGCGAACGGCCCAGGCGTCCTTCTCTAGGTCTCCAGATGCGAAGCCCTGATAGGCTGAGTCAAAGAAGGGGAACAGAAACCGGCGCTGCGAGGAAGGAAAGCGAGTCAGGGCAGGGAACCCATCTGCACCCGACCTCCAAATCAGGCTTCCTTCCCCAGCTGGTGCCTGGAAGGGATTTCTAACACTGTCCATTTCTCCTGCTTCTCTTCTTTCTGCCTCCAACCACTACCTTACATCAGCTAAATGCCAACCAACAAACCTAACGATTTCAGTAAACCTATTTTTTTAAGTATATTGTCCTAGAGTGGCATGATGCCACTGCCAACAGGGCTTATTTACAAGGCATCGAGGTAGTTTCTGTCCTCTGTGGCGGATTCTTCCCCACAAATTCCTGATGTGATAAGCTTGGTCAAGTGTCAGTTTGGTATCCCTAGGGCCTCCTCACAACCTCAGGGCTATCCTACCGGGCACTCAAGATGAAGGAGACAGCATGGTCTCTGTTCTTTTCACTCTAGTCTCTTCAAAGAGCTCCCCGCACTTAACTTGCTTCTCCTACTGGGCTCCCTCTCTATGTGGACACCACTTCCCTGCTTCTGACTGTCCTAGCCAGAGGCCAGGGTTCATCCATCTGCCACTCCTACCTCTGCAGCTCATCCTTCACATCCAATCACACTCCAAGTCCTATCACTCCTGTCCCCGAGAGCTCTACAATCCTTTCACACCTGCCACGGCCACCTACTTCATTCAGGTCCCCATCAATCCTTACCTGGATTATACCAATAGCCTACTAACTGTTCTCACAGCCTGTCTAATCTTGACTCCCTCTGATCCATTCCCTGCTATGTAGTCAGGGCTACCTGATACAATGGACATCTGATTATTCACTCTGTAACATGAAAGATTTTCAGTGGCTCGATGCCAAAGCACAGGATCTCGCCCCCCTTTACCTCTCTAGCCTCATCGCTCACATTCTCCCAACTCCCTTGGAATCTAGGCCATGCCGGGAATTACTTTCACTTCCTTAAATGAGTCATGACCTCTTCTTGGGCTTTTCCCCTTTTAAGAAACATTC